AGATTGAGTGGTTATAAGTTCTAGAAACAGTATCAATTGGTAAAATAACTTTGAATTGATTGGTTTAAGTTTAATTTTGTTAAAATTATCATATTCGAAGTTCTCTCTTTTCATTAGAAACGCACACTAAACACTTTATATGTTTTCTAGAGACATTTTGTGAATGTTTTGGTTAAAAGAGTTTTTGATTTTATGGATTTGAAGGGACAAAGGAGTTTAAAAAGGAGGTGTTTGATAAGGTTCAACTGGAACTAAACCAGTTTGGTCTCGTAATCTACAATGCTAATGTGAAGCAGCTCGTTGATGTGCCTGGACATGAATACTTCTCTTACTTGGGTCAGAAAACCCAAATGGAAGCAGCAAATCAAGCAAGGATCGATGTTTCTGAGGCGAAGATGAAGGGAGAGATCGGTGCGAAGGAACGGACAGGGCTTACACTACAGAACGCAGCGAAAATAGATGCGGAATCAAAGATCATATCGATGCAGAGGCAAGGAGAAGGGACAAAAGAAGAGATCAAAGTGAAGACAGAGGTTAAAGTGTTTGAGAATCAGAAGGAGGCTGATGTAGCTAAGGCCAATGCCGAGCTAGCGATGAAAAAAGCCGCTTGGACCAAGGATGCTCAGGTGGCTGAGGTTGAAGCAACCAAAGCAGTGGCTTTGAGAGAAGCTGAGCTTCAAACTCAGGTCGAGAAAATGAATGCATTGACTCGCACGGAGAAGCTCAAGGCGGAGTTCCTTAGCAAAGCCAGTGTTGAGTATGAAACCAAGGTTCAAGAAGCAAATTGGGAACTATACAACAAGCAGAAGCAAGCAGAGGCGGTTCTATACGAGAAACAAAAGCAAGCCGAGGCACAGAAAGCGCAAGCAGACGCAGCATTCTACTCAAAGCAGAAAGAAGCAGAGGGACTTGTTGCCTTAGCTAGTGCTCAAGGGACTTATCTAAGAACCCTCTTAGACGCTGTTCAGAATGACTATTCTTGTCTTAGAGACTTCTTGATGATTAACAATGGTATTTATCAGGAGATCGCTAAGACTAATGCGATGGCGGTTAGAGACTTGCAGCCCAAGATTAGTGTTTGGAACCATGGTGGAGAACAGGGTGGTGGTAGTGGGAATGCTATGAAGGATATAGCTGGACTCTACAAGATGTTGCCTCCGGTTCTTGATACGGTTTATGAGCAGACTGGGATGCAGCCACCGGCTTGGATCGGTACTCTACGTGGTACGGAACCGAAGCAAGTGACGCGTAACTAAGTGGTTGAGGTTTGGATAGTGGCATGGTTTGGTTATTTACTTGTGGTTGAAGATACATCCTGAGAATGTAATTTTTTATTTTTTAATCCCGTTGGAAGACTTCTTGAAGTGTGTTATTTTTTTTCTTAATTGAATCTTATTCGTATATGTTGAAAATAAAATAAAATGAGGGACAACCAAAACCAGGGAATGATTTTTTTTAATGATGGAGTCTTGAACTGTTACAAATTCAGGGAATGATAGTTCGTCCTTTGGGGAACAAACCAAAACCAATGCCTTTCGAATTGCGGTGTGAACTTATCTTGAGAGAAAATTGGTTCGGAGGTGGCTACAAAAACTAAAATTCCGCGGACCGCTGTTTTGGTGGAAAAACACTTCATGAGACTTAAAGGTGTTATGCGCATAGTCTGATGGGAGATGCTATAGTGGCTGACTGACTAGGAAGTGTTATGCTTGCAGTCTAACGGAAGGTGAAGGTAGGAGTAGTCATTGGCGAATTAGGACGCGCTTCGGTCATTGACCGGGACAGGATCAGTTACTAGCTAACTATATGAAGTCTTCTTCTTTGTTGTAGATATATATATATATATATATATATATATATATATATATATATATATATATATATATATATATATATATATATATATATATATGTATTCTCAAATGTGTAGTTTCTTGGAAGTGGGTTGAAGATTTATCTTATTAGGAATTTTCAAAAGTCTCCTTTTTATTCTAATATCATTTGTCATAGTCAAACAAAACTGGAGAGGTTTTGGCAAACTCAATTTATATTATTTAATGAAATTCAAAAATTGTAAATATATATAAGCTTAGTCATGGTCAACATTTAATATAATAGGTCATGTATACCATATAGGTCTGGGCATATCATCTGAATCCGAAAAAATCTGATCTGAATCGAGCCGAAAAATCCGATCCGAACCGAAACCCGATCGGATTTCAAATAGAATGTGATTCGGATTTCGGTTCGCGTAATTCAGAATTTCATGTTTGATCGGGTAAATTTCGGAGGTAATTTGGATGATTCAGATCGAGTAATTTGGATATTTTGGATTTATCAGATAATTCGGATCCAAATCCGAACCGAAACCGTACTTATTTTGGTTTCGGATACACTTCGGATTCCCATATAAAAATTGAAAACCGATCCGAATCCAAAAAAATCCGATCCACCCCGATCCAAAAAAACAGTCGGATTCTATATATCCCAATCCGAAATCCGAAATCCGAATAATCCAATCCGAAAATCCAAATGCATGTGCCTAATACTATGTCGCGTCGTAGTCCGTCTTTTGTGTCTTTTTGTTCTATGTGCTTGAGCGGGATTTGAAGGTTTTATATCAAACTATATGATATATGAAAACATTTGTGATTCGGATCTAGTATTTTTGGTTCAAAGATGTTTATGTATATGGTGTACTTATATATAGTTTATATATTTTTATTTAGAGTTTTTGGTTTGTATACATCTACATTATCATATCAAAGATAGTTTCATCATCAAATTTTAAACAAAAATGACATAACTTGCAATAACAATTTCAGCTTGACAAAATCTACATAGAAAAGTCAATAATGAAACATTCTAGGCAATCATCCTTCTTTTTTTGTGATATATTTTTGAAATTTCATAAACATTTCTCCGACACTGACAGACAAAGTCTTTTAACATGTCGACGACTATATGCAATATATAAGCACTTCTCACGAAACAAAAAATAAGCAGCTACTCATTCTTTGTCACCAAAATCATTATCAAATCCTTAGATCTTAGACATGTTCAAGGTTGCAAGAGCATCACAATATTTGGCCATCACCGGTGGTGGGATCGAAGACATCAAGCTCTCGAAGAAATCATGGGTGCTTCCATGGCAAAAGTGCACCGTTTTCGACGTGTCTCCAGTGAACTACACTTTCAAAGTCCAGGCTATGAGTGCAGAGAAGCTACCTTTCGTTCTTCCTGCTGTCTTCACTATCGGCCCTCGTGTTGATGACACTGCAGCGCTTATTCTGTACGCTAGGCTGATTTCGCCTCATGACAAACAGTCAAATCATGTGAATGAGCTTGTTGAAGGTGTTATCGAGGGAGAGACTCGTGTTCTCGCTGCTTCCATGACCATGGAAGAGATCTTCAAAGGTAACTAATTTATTTATATTATTGTTTTGTTAAAAAAAACATTGGGTTTGAAATCTAGTGGTTGCATTACAAAGTTATTAGGCTATATGTCATGGTCTATTCATTTTCAAAATAAGGTTTAGATATAAAGTTTTTAGGCGTAAATATTTGTGTTCCGTAGAAACAGTTTTCTAAACACATTTTATGAATCTGAAGGGACAAAGGAGTTTAAGAAGGAGGTGTTTGATAAGGTTCAACTAGAATTGGACCAGTTTGGTCTCGTAATCTACAATGCCAACGTCAAACAGCTGGTTGATGTGCCTGGACATGAGTACTTCTCTTACTTGGGTCAGAAAACCCAAATGGAAGCGGCCAATCAGGCCAGGATCGATGTGGCTGAGGCCAAGATGAAGGGAGAGATTGGTGCCAAGGAACGCACAGGGCTTACGCTACAGAACGCAGCGAAAATTGACGCGGAGTCAAAGATCATATCGATGCAGAGGCAAGGAGAAGGGACGAAGGCGGAGATCAAAGTGAAGACTGAGGTTAAAGTGTTTGAGAATCAGAAGGAAGCTGATGTAGCTAAGGCCAACTCCGAGCTTGCCATGAAAAAAGCTGCTTGGACCAAGGATGCTAAGGTTGCTGAGGTTGAAGCAACCAAGGCAGTGGCTTTGAGAGAAGCTGAGCTTCAGACTCAAGTTGAAAAAATGAACGCTTTGACTCGAACAGAGAAGCTCAAGGCCGAGTTCCTTAGCAAAGCCAGTGTTGAGTATGAAACCAAGGTTCAAGAAGCGAATTGGGAATTATATAACAAACAGAAGCAAGCAGAGGCAGTTCTATACGAGAAACAAAAGCAAGCCGAGGCACAGAAAGCTGAAGCAGACGCTACATTCTACTCAAAGCAGAGAGAAGCAGAGGGACTTGTTGCTCTAGCCAGTGCTCAAGGAACATATCTCAGAACCCTCCTAGACGCAGTTCAGAATGACTATTCTTGCCTTAGAGACTTCTTGATGATTAACAATGGCACTTATCAGGAGATCGCTAAGACTAACGCGCTAGCGGTCAGAGACTTGCAGCCCAAGATTAGCGTTTGGAACCATGGTGGAGAACAGGGGATAGGTGGTGCTGGTGGGAGTGGGAATGCTATGAAGGATATAGCTGGACTTTACAAGATGCTGCCTCCAGTTCTTGATACGGTTTACCAGCAGACTGGGATGCAGCCACCGGCTTGGATCGGTACTCTAAGCAAGTGACGCTGCCTCAACAGCTAAGAGGTTGAGACCATGGTTGGGTCGTTTGCTTGTGATATTGAAGATTCATTCATGAAAATGCAAAAAAAATTAATTTCAATCCGTTGGAAAACTTGGTTTGTTCTTAAGTGTTTGAAAGGTTGTATTTTTTAAATTTATTCGTATTCGTGTGTTAAAAATGAAATAAAAATGAGAGACAAATAACATTTCAGGAATTTGCAGATACATGAAGGTTGTTTTGTAGTATGTATGTATGTATATTGAGTGGTGTGTATCAAGTCTAGGCTTATTGTAATATATCCTTTGGGATGCTCGAGGACATCAAAGTCTAGTAGAGACCAGACCGAAGTAAAATGCCAAAGAAAGGATTTGTTTGAAAAACTATATATGTTACAAACCTAGCCACAACCAAAGGAGAAACTAAAGAGCAGGACAACGTATTTTGAAAAGAAATGAGCAACTCACAGGTACATATAGATTACGGTTTCTCTCCTTCTCTCTGTCTCTCTATGATCCCCAGTTTGGTATGTTGGCCGTGGCTTCATTTATCATCTTCACTAGTGTTACCTGTCAATACATTAATGAAGAGAACTGAGCTGTGTTTGTAATCATTAGCAGGGAAGTTACGGTGTAATCATACGCCGGACTGGCCAGTCTCGCCCTAAAAATTCGGCCCATGGGCTGGAACAGTAAACGGTAATGTGTTTTCAGAAAAATGAAGGCAGGACATGTAAACATACCACACTTTGTGAAACACCGGGTGGAGGCATTGTAAGGTTCCTCGGTGGTGGTGAGCTATCATACGATCTTTTGTCAAATCTCCATTGCCCGATTTTCCCATAGGTTAATTTACCCTGAAATCACCATAATCATTCTTTTCCACCCTCTCTTCTCATTTTCAATTCATATGCTAATCTCATTATAAAGTTCTCAAGTTTGTATTTATCATTTTTGTCCTATTGTTCATAAATCATAATCAGAATTTGAAATCTTACCTTCATATCGTAGTCACATCCATAAGTGTAGTGTATGATGTACTTGTCACCAACCTCTATATCCCATGGAGGCTGATCATTACAACAAACACAACCAAACCAAAAGTCCATCATCTCTTTCATAAATGCATCGGAAAATTCGTATCCACGTAACAAGCAACAACATATAGCCAGGCCATAACTCTCCTAAAACTCATGTTAATAATGGATATTCAACAAAGTTCATGGAACATTATCCACCCTTGGCCACGACGACGTACTCTAGATTAACAATTTCTTGGAATACTGCAACTAATCATTCATTTTATATTGTACTAGCTCACGCAAATGGACATGGTGATACACTTTTGCCTCCATTAATAACCGCCAAGCGCTTAAAAACGATATACAAATTTGAAAAAAGCCAAAATGTGTGTATATGGTTACCTGAATCATGAAGTCTTTGTGTAGAATATTGCTAACACCATGCAACGCAGATGAGACAGCATAAGCATACCTATACTTCCACAAAAGATAACAAAAAGTTGTCATCAAGTCTACCCAATCGAAAATCTAAACAACACATTCCATATAAAAAAAACTATTTATATCAATTTTTACATTTCAAGAACCCATCCAAAAGCCTTGTCTGCTTCAGGATCCTTCTTCATAGCCAAAGAAACATTCATCCAAGTTGGAGCAATCTTCTTTAAAGCATCCTAAAAAAACATAACATCAAAAAGCTTTAGCGAGAGACACCCTTTAATAAAAAAACTGATCCCAAATCGTTCTCTCTACGCAACAAGAACAAACCTTCCCCACAATGACAGGAGAGTTTCCTATCGGGTCGATATTAGTAACCGGTCCTCTCTCTTCTGGATAATACTTCCTCAACACCTTCTCATACTTTTTCGGCTCAATGTAAAAGAAAGGAAATGCAGCTCCAAGCCCATCTTTAGCCAAATTTGGTATAGGTTTAACAATGATATGATCAGGCTCAGACATCAAAATATAACTGCACACAACCAAAAAACAACATATCAGCACAACAACAAATCTCCCTCACTTAATCACCAAAACAAGTTCAAAATCAAAAGCATCTTAACTCTTCTTTAATATCTGTTTGTTGAAGCCATTGTACAAATGCCCATGGCCTATTCAACACAACATAACCCTACAAAATTAACCAAAAACCACACTCAAAATCAATGTCCAATTCCTCAAAAGAACCAAAATCAATACACATTACCTGATCCATCCCAGAAGGTAAAGGCTGAGCAACAAAAGTAGGAATCTCATCCATATACTGATCCGGTTTACCAGAATGCAAGATCCGAGTAAACCCACCCATTTCAGAACCGGGTCCAGCAGAAGCTTGAACCTTTTTGAACCAATAGTACATAACTCTACATTGCCAAGTGTTGTAGACGGAATCAGACGCAGTCACCGCCGTGTGGAAAAGTCTCGTCCTTTTACCATTGTTGCGGTTTCTGGATCCGCCGCCACGAGGTAATTCGATGACTGGGTCAATGGAGATATCGGAAGATGAAGATCGGCCGGGGAAGCCTTGTTTGAGAGGAGCATTAGCGGAGATGATGATGTTGTAAGTGATTAGAGCAACGGAGAGAGTTATGAGAAGTGGGTAGAACAAAGTTCCACCACAACCCATTTGAGAGAGATTGAGATTTAGAATTGGAGGAAGAGATTGTTAGTTCAAAGTCTTCGTCTTTGTCTTTGTCTTCTTCTTCTGCTTATGCCAGTTGGTGAAGAAGAAGATGCCGAAGAAATGGCTTACCTTTTTATAAGTTCTATATTGCTTTTACTGTTTTATTCTTTATTTTGTTTCTCTGTTTTATAAATTTGACTATTGTTACTATTAGTGAAAACATTTCGGTTTTCTTCGGTTTTTTGGTTTAGTTCGGTTCTATAAGAATGTCAACCAATATTATTTTGGTTTGGTATACTTCAAGGTTCATGCTCTAAGAGTGCAATATGTAGAGAGATTTAGACCATCCGCAGTGGTGTAAGTGTGAGGGAGGGGTGTAAGATTTTTTTTATTATTATAATTTAAAGTGAGAGAGAAAAGAGAGAGAGAAAGAAAGAGAGAGATAGAGTGTCTTACACCCGAGTGTAAACTTACACCCGGGTGTGAAGAGAGAGACAACTTTTGCATTATTTCTGTATTTTAAAATAGATACACCCCACGCAAGGATACACCACTGCGGATGCTCTTATAAGATTTTGAAAATAAACAAAAAAAAGTCATCATTTCAAGTTTCAACTGAGAACTTACTATTTACCAAAGGTATTAACTAGGACTGTGACTACGGTTAACCGAACCGAACCGTGCTGGTTTTTTTGGTTAACAGAACTGTTTATGGAGGGTTACCAAAATTAACCGGAAAAAGTGGGTTTGGCTCTCGGTTAATTCTGGTTTTGAGAATTATAGTTTTCTTCCATAATTACATTTCGAGGGAGTACAAATTTTCCAATGTGTTTAACAAACTATTGACTACCGAATGGTTTGTTAAACACATCAAGAAACTGCTCGCTATTGTCCACCTTCCAAGTACATATTGTTTTATCTTTGATTTATTAGCCTCCTGATATGGATTTCCATGTATTTTGTTCGTTCATGAAACACAAAGTTTGCATCAATGTATAGTATCGCTTTATTGTATTAAGTAGGCTGCTACTTCTGTTGACCGAACCGAATCGTGCCGTTTTGGTTTGGTTAACCAAACTATTTCTAGAGGGTTACCAAATTAAGCGAAAAGAAATTTGGTTCGGTTCTTGGCTAATTTCGGTTCTCTTTTGAGATTCGGAGAATTCGAGGGAGTAAATTTTTTCAAATGTGTTTAAAAAACTATGGACTACCAAATACTTAGTTAAACACATCAGTATATGGACATGGCGCGTTGGGGCAGGTATTACCGGTTAATGTGCTTCACCGTTTGAATGCAGTGGTTATCAAGGGAGTGCTGGGTTTGGAAGATAAGATTTCGTGGCAAGGAAACCCGAATGGGGAGTTTACTGTCAGTTCTGCTTACGAGTTGTTGAGGCGGGAGACAGAACCTACACCATGTATGGAGCGGTTTTTTAAGAGGATATGGGCAGTGGTGATACCAGAGAGGATACGGGTCTTCCTTTGGCTGGTAAGTCACCAGGTGATAATGACAAATGTGGAGAGAGTGAGACGCCATATTGGAGATAGTGCGGTGTGTCAAGTATGTAAAGGTGACTTTGAGTCTATCATACATATTTTGAGAGACTGTCCGGCGATGGCTGGCATTTGGTCACGGTTAGTACCGCCGCGGGAGAGACAAGCCTCCTTTGAAAAATCTTTACTAGAATGGTTGTTCGATAATTTGGGGGATAGACCGGGTTCCAGCCCGGGGGATTGGTCGACTCTGTTTAGTATTGCGGTTTGGTGGGGATGGAAGTGGAGGTGCGGGTATGTGTTTGGAGAGGTTGGTAAGTGTCGTGATCGGGTGCGTTTTCTCAAGGACTTAGCTACGGAGGTCTTGGAAGCGCATAAGTTGGTGACGGTCTCTTCACAAGCCACATGGAGAGTGGAGAGAATGATCTCATGGAAGAAGCCGGGGGAAGGATGGGTCAAAGTGTCTACGGATGGTGCTAGTCGGGGTAATCCGGGACCGGCATCGGCTGGAGGAGTTATTAGAGACGAGGCAGGGCGCTGGTTAGGTGGATTTGCGCTCCACATTGGCATATGTTCGGCTCCGTTGGCGGAGTTGTGGGGAGTCTACTATGGCCTGTTGATCGCTTGGGAGCGGGGTTTTAGGCGAGTGGAGTTGGAGGTGGATTCTGAGTTGGTGGTGGGATTTCTAAAGTCAGGGATAAGTGATGCTCATCCGCTGGCATTCCTGGTACGTTTGTGCCATGGCTCTTTCTCAAGGGACTGGATAGTCCGGGTTACTCATGTGTATAGGGAGGCTAATCGTCTTGCAGACGGATCAGCGAACTATGCGTTCTCGTTGCAGTTAGGTTTTCATTCATTTGATTCTTGTCCTAGTGTAGTTCATCCTATTATGCTAGCAGATTCGATTGGGACAGAAAGTCCACGTCATGTTCGGTTGTAATTCTTTTTTAATTAGTTCGTAATAAAATATGGGAGACAATTGTCTCCCCCTCTCTTACCAAAAAAAAAAAAAAAAACACATCAACAAGTTGCTCGCTACTACTGTCCACCTTCCAAGTACACTTGTTCCATCTTTAATTGATTAGCTTCCCGATATAGATTTCCATGGGTTTCGTCCATTCATGAACACAAAGTTTGCAACAATTTTTGCTTGATTGTCAGTCACATCACCAATATCAAATACCATACACTGATACAACCATGTAAAACCACATTATGCACATACATATGATGCATTTCAAAAACACTGGGACAATAGACATTTTTGCAAGAAACACAAATATTTTCGAATTCCTTTCTTACTAACATATGTCCAAGCACTACCAGTTTTGTATGCTTTACCTCATCACAAAACGAGATTGGCTCTGTTTTGTAGGTTACAAAGTAACCTGTAATTTTAAAGTGCTCAAAACCAATTTTGGTGTCCACCGAAAAATTAACCTCGACCACATTTATTGTAACCATTAAGCTAAAGAGTTCCATTGCAGATACTTGTCCTTGTGGTCCTCAAACACAAAGTCTATTATTTGGCTACCAAACTTCACTTTTGACTCTCCCTCTTTAATACTCTCATGCCTTAGCATCCCCTCCTCTATAATTCGGTACTAATCTATATATGCACTTAAGTTTATTATTCGAGTACAAGAACTGAAAATGTTTTGGGTGAGAGAAAGTAACATAAAAAACAAAAAAAAATGGAGATGTTTTGGTTAACACCACCAATACCATTGAAAGAACAATCAAAAGCTTAGAATAAATTACCACATAAGTTAAAAAAAAAAAAAAAAAAAAACTATCGTTCTTCAAAAAGTGTGCTTCCCCACTCTTCGCTTTTGCGCCAACAATCTCTCACTCTCTCTGCATTAACATCATCACATGTTTAAGTAAAGACAAACCAAATGAACACAAACCAAATGAACACAAACCAAATCAATCTTCATATTTACCCTCTGACGTTTCGACTCTGGAGGTGACGGTGGTTCAGGTCTCCGATTTGAATCCCCTCGCGCTGTACCTTCCTCCTCCTGCACCTCGTATTTATCCGCAACCAACACTCATTAACACATTTGTATATTCTCACCAGTTACCATTTATCAGATTTTAGTAACCCCTAAGCACCGGCTTTGATAAGGTTTACCACTTCTACTCCTACACATCTGTATAATTCTATACACAACCCAAAGCTCTACGATCTTTCGCTATCCAATTACTCCAATACGAATTCCCCACAAGTCAATGACATGTTGCATAAGGCTTCTAAGGAAATAACTATATATGTAACATGTTAAAAGGTCAAAAAAATGGTGGAGATAACGATGTACCTCTCTTGAAGAGGCTTGTCTACTGCTGTTGCTGCCTCTGCCTGTAGCAGCTTCACCTGAGCTTGACGAGGCTACGTTTTGAGATATAAAGGGCATGATCTGCTGAAGAACACTTGATATGAAATTCCCTTCATCCATCGTAGTTGCCGGCTCTGCTTGTGCATTTGCAACTGCTTCGTTTGTTTCTGTGGACGCTGTGGCAGAGGGATTTGCTGCACCCTGAGACTCCGTGCTCCCGGCTTGGTGTTCTCGACGAGATAAGGGCCTCAAAAACTGATGGATTCTGTTTCTCAATTCAGACAAACCCCGACCGCCAGGAGAAGCACTGCTATCACCTACATATTTCAGAGAAGCAAAGATTTATGACATAGCCTGCCTTAAGGTAAAACTTCATCTACAGCAAAGGGAAACATCAAATCAAACATAATTTGAGACAACCCAGTAATAAGAGGCAACAGACGTGAAGCTTTCTCTTATCGACAATTCAACAAATAAATCAGTACAATACTGTAGGGAAGTTATGCTAAAACTAACCTTCTCTTCCTGGAGTACTGGCGCTCTGTGGCTGCCTAGAAGATTCAGTAACAGGCTGATGTACACCATCCAATCCAGTAGAGCTGCGTTCACCAAGAGATATCTGCTGATATCGAGCAACAACTGGTATAACTAAGGCCACAGGGTTACGAGGAGGTTCAGCCGAACCTCTTGTTGAGGGGGCAGAATCAGTAGTGCTACTAGGTGCTGAAGGGATTGACTGCCCAGGGGTTTGTTGTGTAGTACTTTCTTCTCTCTGGTTGGTCCCACTGGCGGGCACCCAAGATCCTAATATAACGTCCATTTTTCAAGATTAAAAAAGGAACTTAAGCTGAAGATTTTCAATATAGCAGGAAAGAACAGTTTATACTTAGAAATTAAGTGTATGAATAGCACCTGTACGTATTCTTATCTCAATATTTCTTGGGGCAGAGGCAAGTGATTGTCCAGCAAAAGGGTTAGAATGTGCGGTTCCTGCTTGTAAGCCTCCAATACTCGTCCCCAGCCGAGAGGAGTGTGACTACAAAAATTAAAGGTAGACACAAAGGTAATGATGAGCAGGACAAGTGGACACACTGGTAATGATGAGAGAAAGAAACAGAGAGACAGACAGGCAAGGGATTTCTCCCTGTAGGGGATATGAACACTGCAGGCCCAGCATTAACAACAGCATCATCCTGACATGTAACATACCAAGTGTCATATAGATGTACGGGTATATCATACTCTGTGAACAAAATCATATGCAAACTAATGCATCATTAAAAAAATTGTAAGATTCAGATCCACGATATGTAGGAAAAGAATACGCACAGGTGTTTGTCCCAAACGAAGCATCATCGTGGCACGGCCAAGCTCCAGGAGTGAAATGCCTAAACTCTCCAAGAGGGATCCTGATTGAAGCATGTTTGACTGGCACAACCTTCGGGTTGGCGGATCGGTCACATTTACATGATCCACGAGCTGCCTCGAAAGATTCTGCAGAAGAGAGATATGAAACGGTTATTCTTGTTTCCCTGGATTTGAGTAACCAATTCCAGCTCAAGTCAGTCACTAAAAAGATAACAAAAACACTGCATGTCACTAATGTTGAACTAGCCTTGCTAACTTCAATGTTTCTCACATTGCAACATTCACAAAAAAGAAACAGTTATTCCCATGGCACAAAAGTCGGAAACAATGAGTCTACAGGGCTTGGAGGTTTCTGTTAAAAGTTTATCTGAGTCCCATAAATTGATGTAATAATTTCCGCATTGGTTAAGACTGTCAAAGCAAAGACACAAGTAGCTTTCTCAAAAGGAATGTATGAAGCAAAAGTAAAAGAGCATACAGTTAAGCAATCTGCTACTTCACCGATCAACAATTGCCTTGTCGATTGCAGCACTTCTGCCAAATGAGATGGTCTTGGAATCCGACTCTCTCCAGTAGTAGAAGCAGAATCTTGCACATTGCCCATTGAATTTTCAGAATCTTGCAAGTTATTAGCATTGCTACCTGCAAAAATCACAGTACCACTGTCAGACTCTCGAGACTTGTTTTCAACACAGAACCAAACATTTAAAAATTAGTCTAACCATTAGCAGCAAATTCTTGTCTCAGATGATTCAGATATTCAGATAAGGTTGTCAATGAATCTGGAATCGCCTGCAGTGGTAAAAAGTATAGCTTTCTCATGAACAAAAACATGATGTGCCTTACGAAAATTATGTAACATGAGTAATCATGGAAACAAGGGAGCTCGTACTGCTGGTTGTGAAGATGTCAAGGGGGTAGACGTCTGGTCCACAGCATTTGGTGTGGCAGCTCGCCCTCCGGAAGAATCTCTTACAGTGCTAGGACCAGAACTCCGAGACAGCCTCTCATGAAGAGGACCCTGAAAAACAAAGGGAACTCTCTTACATCCAAAACCGATATATAGAAATACGCAGCAAATTATAGGCAATTACCATAGTATCAATCCCTTCAATACCACCTTCTGGATTAGAGATCCCAAGTGAACCCAGAACTGCTGAAACTATCTGCCAGACATAAAACAAAGCTCATGAAAAGGATCACATCTAATCCAACACACAAAAATAAAAACAGATCAAACAGATAAAAGAGGGTATACCTGACCAAGTTCTGAATAGACTCCATCTGCTTGTTCAGCAATGTTGAAGGATCCTACTACAACTCGTGATCGTTGACTGCCCTGGCTGTCACCAGCACTCAAAGCAGGATCAGCCGCTAAGAAAACAAGTTCTCCACTTAGCATGTTGAAATATAGTCTCACAAATTGGTATGTTGAAATTCAAAGATGTTTAGGAGCAGTTTTTTGGGACCACAAATTTGTAAGGGAACTTGAGACTACCTGCATTACTAGTTGAACTCTCTGATACAGGTTGTCTGACTACCAAATGCAGAGTGTGGCCATCTTCAACATCTAAGATGGAACCGTTAAAGAATTTTACCGGTAAAAGGAAAAGAAATTACTGGCTATCATACGACACTGGAATTGTTAACAAGGAAGTCAAAACCAAGGGCTTGACAAAATACATCAGTAAACTAGGGTTCACAAATCACAACTGAAAAGAAAAGCTCTAAGAAAGAACTGATGCAATATGCTGAAAAGAACAAAAAGGATACGATAAGCTGATAGGAGTTGATCATCCTTCATAACTTTTCCACGACATATCAAGCGTTGTTGTTCCGTAACGACACCAGTAACGGAAGCAACTTGCTCCTTCAATGCAGGAACAGGGACCTGAAATGAAAGAAGAAAACAGAAAGCAAATTTAAGAAAGGCCATCTAGGACACAAATAAACAAGTGAGCACTGAAATAAGGCATTAGTTCCACGATTTTAGTCAAAGGATAGATATTAGTAATTAGAAACTTCATTATGCAACACATGCATGCAAAGAAAGACAGACCTTACAGGTAGTAGTCTCAGTTCATGGAAACAAATTGTATAATACAATGACACGAATTCACGATAGATAAAATGAAACATCAAAGAAAAGTAAACTACTATAGCTCGTTTTTCTTACGCATTTATCTACGCGTAAGGTGTACGTTTGAGAATCCAAAGTCTTTATCTTTATCTCAACCATAGCACTGGCGCATTGAGATGCCTCGACCATAATTTCATCTTTCCCATTGTCTCCCATCCTTTCAAATGCCTTCAAACACCTGGAAACAAAAAAAAAGTATCATCTTACATTTAGCTTATATCAGCTGCATGCAAAAACAACCTTTGATCAAACTGGTGGTGTTAAAAATGACTCATCAAACACTGAGACAAAACTCAACACTTTTTCGCGACTCTCGAAGAAATTTTTCATCCAAAACCCTAAAATCTCTGAAAATTCGTAAAGATGGACACTTTATAATCAAATTCAAGAGGAAAATCATGTCTTTAGCTTCTCCAACTCCAAAGAAGAAAGATGTGATCATAACCAATAAACACGCAACGGAATCTCAACTTCGAGAACTCTTAATTAATAGCAAAACATAATCATCTAATTCAATCAAACACCAGCAGAGTTCTAAGCTTTCCCGGTGAAGAAAAACAGAAGAATCGATCTAAAACCCTAGAAAAACGAACAAAAAGCAATCAAGAAGAAAAATCATAATGAAATTTAGTAACAAAGAGGAATCAAAACCTAGAAAATTGATCGGAGTTGAAATCAGCTGAGGAAGAGAGAAGGAGATTTGGGGAAGAATCTGTAACCCTAAGAGTCCTTTCGCGGCTCCGAGAGACGATTCCGCGGCGAAGGAGAGTGAGAGAAGAGAAGCCTGGAAAAAAAAAACGATTTTTCTGAATTTTGCCTTTCTTATTATTATTATCACGTGAGTGATAATAATTTTTAAAGTAATTTCAAATTTGATGATTTTAATTTTTAGGCAAGTAATTTTAATTTTGCTGAATTATAAGAAATAAATTTTGGTGTTTTGCATAATAGGAGAGGTTTATAAAGTAAAAATATCTTTGACTTTTGCAGATTAGTAAAGAGGATATTAATTTATACAGATTTGGTATTTTTTGTATTTACATGTAAAGGAATTTTATATCAATATTATTTAAGAAATAAAAATGAGTGATTTTTTTGTTTAAGCATTGTCGTGATTGATGAAAGTTTTTTTTTTCTAGAAGTAAATGAGTTGTAAATGTAAACTTTATTTATATGAAAATGGTTCGGAAAAAAACATTTTGGTGAATGTGAACTTCATTAATTTGGTGAATAATGCAAATAAATTTTGGTTTTTTCAAAATATGAGAGGTACTTAAAGAAAAATATCTTTGATTTTCATCAAATTAGTAAAGAGGCTATTAATTCAATAATTTATACAGATTTGGTATATTTTTAGTTTTCATATAAATCAAGTTTATATTAAACATTAAACTAAAAATGATTTTTCAAAATATTTTCGTAATTGATAAATGTTTTTACAGTGAGATTCCGGAGAGGAAAGACGACATATTTAGAAGGGTGGATGGGATCCATGCGAGATGTTTGGGTTTTTAAAGAATTTGTTTCTTGTAAAGTCGCAAATTTGATCTATTGTTTGGATTTTTGCAAAATTTGTGTTTGTTTAGTTTGCATATATGTGCAAATATTCGGATCTCGTATCGAATTCAAGTCTAGAAATAGTATCTTGTTCTATTCCCTAAGTACTTTCAATGATTTGATTTTATTTTCAAGCTCTAAGTGATGTTTTCTTTGGGTATTTGTCTTCTTTAATTTTTCCAAAACTTGTGTATACCCTTTTTTAAGGAGAATTATTAGAAATGCCTTCTTCTAAATGCCATCTTTTAAAAATGTCCTATCTCTAACACCTTATAAAAAACACTTCTAAAAATATGAGATCTACTCAAATACGTGTGTAACGTTATAAAAACATACACAAACTACATTTACACGAATAGTAGTTACCATTATTAAGTACTTTATAAAACCTTATAAAATTTTCCGATTTAAAGAGAGGTATTTTTGAAAATAAACAACTAAATTGGGCAATTTAGAAAAAAGACACCCTTAAAAAGTGTTGATAACAAATAATTAGATCATCACTTTTTCTTTTCATTTTGGATTTTTTCACCTTAATTGACCGTAGAGATGGAGATTTACGAATAATATATTAACCATCATCTAAATTTAAAGAGAACGAAGACATATTTTCTATGTTTTTAATTATTTATTAATATTGTGTAATGTAATTTTTATATAAGAAGTTTTAAATAAAAATAATATGTTATTTGTTGCTTATCGTTTAAAATAAAATAATTGCGTTGAGTTTATAATTTTAATAAATAGATGCTCATTACAAATATTAGTAACTAAATATGAAAAATATATCTAAAATATTCTTTTTAGAATAAAAAACAGAATATTTTAGAATAAAAAACGGAGAAATGGATTGGAGGAAAATCCAACTCCAAAATATAAAAATGAGTTTGAGATGCTTTTAGAGATGTCCATTTTTTCTTTTTTTCTTTTTTTTTTTGTTAAAGAAATGTAAGATTCGTCCATTTTTTCCTTAAATTTGAGTAACTCCATTTTGGAGTTGAATTTTTCTCTGACCCCTAAAATAGAGATTTCTAAATTTTAGTGTAAATTAAAAATAGAGAACTTCAAATATAGAAAAAAACAATTCTCTATTTTGTAGTTGAAAATGGAGATAGGTTGAAGAAACTCTTACCCCAAAATAAAGTTTGGGAAGTGAATATGAAGATGGTCTAAGCCTCTATACAAATGATCTTAATATGATGTCATGTTGTTCTTTAGAGTAACAATGGGCACTCGGTTAATCAATTAAATAGGTTCGATTTTTTTTGTTTTCAGGTTTTTTGAATTTCTGAACTTTTATTTGGTTTGGTTCGGTTTGAAACTTATTTTTTTTTCTGTTCAGTAATAGGATTTAAAATCAATTCTGAAATAAACAGAATTTTTGATAATTCGGTTAATTCAAATCGAATTAGACAAAAATGAAAGTGAAGATAATGGGGCTAATCTAACAAATTTACGATACAAATCAATAAAATAATGGGTTACTCCCAATAAAATACAAACCCAACTTAAATAACAAACTCAAACTCGTCAAAATTTAGGGTTTTCGCCAACCATGTCGTGAAAGAGAATAAGAAGATTAAAAAAAAAAGAGGTGGTGAAGAAGAAGATAAGAACGAAGAAGGAGGATCTGAGACTGCGGAGAAGAGACTGAAAACAAGGGAGGTATGATTAGAAATTTAGGGTTTTTTACTTTTATATGGTGTTCGCTAAACTAATAAAAATGACCAGTTTTGATGTATCAACCAAAAATAACCGAGAACCAAAATTAGTTTAGAACTTCGTCGATCGGTTTATAACTCTGAACCGAATTGAAGCCAAAAACCAATATTATTAGTTCGGTCAGATTGGTTTAAACGGTTTATGATGATTGTTGAAGGCTACTTTAAAGTATTAAATATATATGTAGATATGAGATGAACTCATAATTTTATTACAATGCTCTAACACAAAATTAGAACGGTATCATGGTTCTTATGACTTAGTTCATACGACATGAAATACAAAGAGAACTTAAATTAATATTAGTTCTACAAAGAAGCGGCTGATAGCCTATAATGTTTTATTATTTAGGGGAGTTATTAGGGTCCCTTACCATCCATGAAAGTACAAATCCTGGTGGTTTATCGTGATTTTTGGTAAAGTAAATCCCATCTTTTTTTGCAATCCATCGACGTAGCTGGCCACATCGACGAAAAGTAGCTGCTCTATATACTTGAATATCATAATAATATTCTAGTTTATATTTTTTAGATATATACGATAAACGACACATCCATGCTCTCTTTTTGTGATCGATGGATTTATCCTGGAATTCCATGATAATTGGGACAATAGCATCTTTTAATTGTTTTACTCCTACATCACCGTTTGGATTCTTGGAACGACAGTGAACTTGTAGAATTGTACCAGGAGGAAGGTGGTTTTGAATTTCTATACGATTATACCTGCAAGCTTCATTCAACCCAAAAAACATAGCAATGACCACCATAAAATCTATAAAGTAATTCATTGTTGTTGAAATAAAGATAGTTTTTGGAGTAATAAAGGAATCAATGTAGAATATTTATACTTTCTTTTGTAGAAAACATTTTACCTTTATTTATCAAACAAACTATTTATGGTGTTGGTCAAAGGAGAGTTTAGTGTCTAAAAGTATGGTTAACCAATAGGATCAACTAATCTTTTTCTTTTTTTTTGGTTAACACTAGCCATCCACTGATCCACATGAGCAAATAACGTTTTCTAAAATCATACCATGATAGCAAAATACAAATGGGCTAAATAAAACTATTGGTGGGCTAAATTAGCAACAACCCAAATTAAATTCTTTTGCCAGCAAAACGCTTTGCATAAGAAATTATTTTAACGTTTTTTTCAAATACTATTTAAAGTTTAATTTTTGTGGTAGGGAAATACTATTTAAAGTTAAATCATGTGTTGTAATATTCTACTAATTACGAACCAATCTTTGTTACAATTGTCATGGGTGGCATGAAGCGTTAAGCATATAAATTTTCATTTCTTGAATGGGTTACATGATTGTGGAAGCCCATTGGCCCATTGGTTGACTAAGGGTTAATTAATGCTTCTACACCAAGAGGTCTGGGGTTCGAGTCCCAGATATTGTGATTTATTAATAAATTTGCAGATTAAAGGAGGCAAGTGTGCAGGAGATCTCCAGCGAAGTACAATTATAGCCGTTCGCCAGGATTCTACGCAGTGGCGGATCTAGGAAAATTGTTTGATGGTGTCAAAATAAGTTTGTTCAAAAAAATTTACAACCAGATAAAAACTGTAACTATAAATAACATCCAAAGAAAAATCATTACAATGCCGATATATCAAAGACCTTCATCTTAAAGATGTATCAAATGAATTGGGTATTTGGATTGAATATTTATACATATAATGGGTTCAAACTTACAAATGAATTGGGTTCTAAAAATTGGGTTGGGTTCAAGCTTCATAATTAAACTGATATATATTAAAATTTTAATATAATTAAAACGTTTTTACAAATTTTAATGGTGTCAAATGCACCCACTAACTTCAACGTGCCTCCGCCACTGATTCTACGCAGAGAGAGAAGTGTCGTCAAGTCGTGGATCATTGAAGGTATCCGTCAAGAGCATCGAGAAGGAAGTGTCGTCTGTCGTGGATCTAATAAGGGTCGGAAGGAATTGTCCGTTGTAGAATCGTCTATGTAACAGTTCTCATAATTTGCAATAAATAATAAATCTAGACGTCAAAAAAAAAGAATGGGTTACATGATTCAAGTGCTATATTTACATGACAACTACCTTTTGACATTTAAAAAAACCTTCGTTGCTTTTCTTATTGTTAAATAAAAGACCTTCATGGTTTGTATGAAATAGAAGCACACTTTTGATGTGCAAGCTCGACAGAAAACAATAAGCATCCGTTAATGGCATTAATATACATACCAATTAAAAATAAAATTTTAATTTTAATTTGTAAATATAACTTACAATAAAAAATGATATATAAAATGAATAATTAATAATAACACATACATTTTTAGTTTAAAAATAAGTTATTATCTTTTTAATGTAATGTTAAATTTTATTCAAGAAAAATTAGCGTCATGGCTGTGACTTCCGCCACCAGGGTTCGAGGCACGGCCACTGGCGGATTTACATGAGGGAATCGCC